AGGGAAAGATGTCTGTTTGGGGGTACTCATCTTATGCTCTTTTTTGGTGTGTAAGTGCCACTGCTCACCTAATTTACTGTGGTTTCCTCACTAAGATCTTCAAGAGCGTTATTCCGTCCACTATCCATTAGAACTGATTTCTTTTTAGCAGGGACAAAAGAATATTTAACTAGTGTTCCTCAAAATACATGCAGAGAAGAGCAAGTAAGACCCCATATTGCATCTGAGACTTAAAAATAAGAGCTTCTTCTTAAATAAAAACTTGGTACCTGTATATGAGGGTCTGCATAGCACTGGAACAAAGCAAGGACTGCAGGTACATCTACCATACATGTGGCACATACTGTGGGAGCTATAAAGCAAGAGGTTTCAAAATGGGGAATAATCTGCCGTTCTGCTTTCCTTTACACAAGAGGAAATAAGGGCCAAACTCCCCATTCCCTTGCTCAGATAAGCTGCTATGGTTCATGTGAGCAAATCTGTTTATACCAATGACTGGACTCATTTGCGTGGAGGTTTTGGATCTGGGCTCCAAATCCCTGTATAACAAAGGCCTTCGTCACGATCTCGAGTTTGTTCCCAGGGCTCTAAATAAGCACCGTTACGAAATGGATTTGTGTTGGGTAAACACCCTGGAAAGGAGCAGCCAGGCTGAGCACTGAGTTGTGAGGATAAACCAGGGAAAGCTCAGGCAAACGTCTGTGCGCAGGGAGATTTTTTCCAAAGTGATTTCTGCAAGCAAGGACAGGGATGGATTTCCCCAGTGTTCACACTTCCAACATTCAGGCCTTTCCAAAGCTAATCCGCTATTCAGACTGGCCCCCACACAAGCCCGGGCCCAAAGTCACCGTGGTGGCTTAGTGCAGGTCATTCCAGTTTTCTGTTGTGTTCGAAACGGGCTGCCAGACTCCGTGCCTGGCCTGCACTTGGAGAGCTGGTGCCTTTCAAAGCCAGACCGGTATCAGAGTCCTGGGCATTAACTAGAAGGCTGGAGCAGGCTATTTTGAACGGAGCTCTTTCTTTTCCTTTTAATTCCTAAAGAATTAAAAAGAAAGAGAGAGACTGCCTAATAACTGATATTAATAAGTTGATATCCTTGAGGGAATTTGATGAAAGGTGCTGGTTGGAAAACACTTGGTAGACTGAAGGAATGTTCCCAGCAGGCAGGCAGGCTGGCTGGCCTTGGGTTTTCTAATTGTGCACAGCAGGATCTGAGTTCAGAGACACGGCAGCTACTTGTGTTTGTACTGAAGAGTCTTTCAAAATGAGCCAGGAAAGAATCTCTGGAGAGCAGGGAAAGGCACATAAAAGTAAACCCATCAGTTTGGATAACATGCCACATTCTTGGTCAGGTAGATATAGTTTGATACAGCTGGAACTCTCAAGCCTACAAACTCTGGGTGTCCAGGAGAGAAAAAAAAGTCTTCTATCCTTTTACAGGAAAACTGTTGATGGGAGAAAAACATGCACAAGAAATCATCTGAGGGAGGGAAGAGGGAGATCATGTAACAGGACTTCTGTCCAGGCTTTCAGGCATTGGCCTCGCTGGCTAGTAGTGATGCGGGTACCCGGCCGCTGGGGTCGTGCCGTTCTCTATGTGTTTCAGATGACAGGAGTGACACAGCAAATGTTCATCTAGCGGGTAGCAGCGATGCCCGTCCTCATCATTGAGTTCCATGCCGCAGTCCTGCAAAGACAGCCCGTACAAATTACTGTAATATGGCTTTACCTGCCAGTGCTACGCGAGGTCTGGTTCCCATCAGGATGTTCCTGTGACAAGGAGGGACAACACTTGGCCACCAGCGCTCTCTAAGTCCTGAATACTCATACTTGTCACAAGAAGGAACGCACCTGTCACAGACATTTTGAAGGGCAGCCTGATAAGAACTTAAGTACTTTTAATTAGCAGGTTTTTATCTCACGGTGAGTCGCACCCCTATGCATTTTAAACGTGTTCGCGTTTTGCCTTTGGGTAGAATTTGAGCCTTGGGTCAGGACCTCCTTTCACTGCATTATGAGCACAGGGATGGAGGACGTCCATTTAAACTCCCAGGGCACAAATATGAAGGCTGTCTGGAAACCCCCACATGGAGACTAATTGAATGTTCAAAGCTGGAACTTCTTGGGATCTTCTTCTGGAGATATAACTTTCTCCTCCTCCTGCCCACAAATTTCCATGAGAGTGAAGGAAACTTATACCGGATAGGATCAGTCAGCATCTTAGCATTTTTGAACAATCTGACTTAGAAATCAGATACATTTATGTGATCTGGAGCTCAAGGTTTCTAAAAAGCAGCACTAGAACCTTATTAATTCACCACATTTCCTTCTCTAACAAATAAACTGCCACGTTTTAAGGGCAGTAATTAATTTTTGCCCACAATGTTATGGACAGCAAATGAGATCATAGTTTATACACACTTCGGAAAAAAATTTGCCTTCAAACTGGAGATTTCTCTGGCACTGCTAACAGACAGTAAGGCTCTCACCATGCAAGCCCTGAATTGCTCAGCTACCGCACTGAGCAAAAGAAATTTAATTTCCAAAATAGCACTAGCTCTGGTTATTAAGTGCCCGTTCCCTTAGGGAGCTGCTGACCTACCTCGCAGTGGTAACATTCCACGTGGTAATCCTTGTCCATGGACACAACCCGAATGGTCTCGTCAGAGCCCTGTGAACATGCAAGCAGAAGAGAAATTACAAAGTCAGAGGATTAGAGGAGGATCAGGCTCTGCAGATCGCTTCCTGCAATAACGGGAACGTTGAACAAATGCATTTGGGCTGCTGGCTGGAAAACACAAATAAATCCTGCCACCTGCAGTTGTTTTTACAGTAAAGCTCCATCATCAACTGACTGCAGATATCCTCTACAGTCTAACATCAGAAATGTTGCATCTACCCCAGATTATTTGCTAATGATTTAGCAATGTCAATATATCAAGTTTCTCAGCATTTTAAATTGGTTTTGCCAAAGGCGCAGCTCCTGCAAGCACTAAAATGAGTCAGTCACAGAGGGGTCACAAAAGGTCCTTCCTGAGCACCACCAGCTTTTATTGCCACGAAGGAAAGTTATTCCAGCATAACACCAAAAGCAGCATAACTTTGCAGGAGATGAAGAAAAGCAGCCTGGCTCAGGGGGAATAAGTGGCATTATCAAGCAAAGGAGGGGTCACATCTCCATGACAGGGCCAAACAGCTGCAGTCTGGAGGAAGCTGCCATCTCTCTGCAGGCACAAGGACCTCTGGCTTGACACAGGGTCATGTGTGACGGAGCACCAGGCCTCTGGCACGCGCCTGTCACCCACGGGGAGTAAGAAATAAAAGGCTCTCACCTCAGAGGGCAGAATGGGGAGTCCACATGCTGCGCATTTTGGAGCTAAAACTCTAGAAAAGCAATGAGAAATAGACGGCAAGTTATAGATCAGCATTAGGGAAAAAGCTCGTTTGCTCTTAGCGATAAGATGAAAGGCATCTGCATCTATAACACACACAGGATAGCTTTTCATCCCCAAAACACAATTTTATTTTAGGATTCATTGAACATCACCATATTTGTCTCCAATTAAATTTACTGTGGAGGGAAATAAAGGAACGGGGCATATACACAGGGACAGATAGATGCATATGAAGGATGACTCTGTAGGCCTTGTGTTTCCTCAGGAAATCAGTCTGTAAAAAATAATATTAAAAAAAAAAAAAAAGATTCCAGGGCTGCCTTGATTTTAAATCCATCAGTGCAACAGCTTTCTATTCACAAATGAATATTGCATTTGACCCATGATTACTTGCTGTTTACATACTCTTGTGACTGAAACAGTACTGACTACGGGTCAATAAGCCCAGTCCTTTCCGAATGGGTCCTGCACCAGCCTTGCTAGCAGCTGTCATTATAAACCTAAAAAAGAGTTTCTTTTTTTTTTCCTTTTTTTCCCAGGTAACTAAGGCTTAGCACAGATTGTTAGTCAGGCAAAAACAGTCTTCTAATTGAAGTAGTTAAAGAAAATCACTGTAAAAATTCTTGGCTATTACTAAGCAAAAATGACTTGGTGATTCAGAAGACAGAAAATGAGCAGGACTGTCTCTGTCCCTCCAAAAACTCCATTAAAAGAACTGACTAACTGCCTCCCCTGCCCTGGGGCAGGATCATGCTGAGAGAAAACAGTAAGGCACTGCAAGGCTCCTTAAGTTTTTTAATAAAATAAAAATAATATAGGACAACTGATAAACAGTAAATGAAATTGCAAGGAAATGCATATCCTCTTTGAATAATGCTGACACACAAACGGATTTAAAAATTTAGCACAATTAAGAACAATTCCAGAGGGTTCTTGAGAACCATTTTAAAACTCTGCCTGCTCAAAGAGTGAGACGAGGAGCACAGCAAGCCAAATGGACACTCAAAACGTATGCAGCTCTAACAACATAACTACTAGCTAAGAGCACAATCCTTTTCTTTTGTAAAGACCAAGTGATTTTAAGTCAATTTATCAGCTATTTAACTTAGAGCTACATTTAAAAAAATATTTTGTATTTGGCACTGATCTCTAGTAACATTCCTGGCTCTTCAGACTGATTTCAGAGAGGATTCTCAGTCTTTACTTTTGAGTGGACTAATTTCTTACCTCATTGAACACTTTACGAGCACTATTTGACTATCTCAGTTTCCCTGTGACACCAATAAACATCATCACCACTTTGCAGAGGGTAGCTCTGCAAAGCTACCAGGTAGCTAAAGCCCAAGGAGAAGCAGCTTCCTCACAGTTACACAGGAAGCTGTTGGCATGGCAAGGAGAGACATAAGGGATTTCTAAGGTCCGGCGCCATCCCTGCACTTCTGGTTTCTCATCCTGTCTCTGCTTTACTAACCCATACATCACAATTATCTGGAAGGCTGAAGGAGAGGCTTGTTGATTGGATCCACTCTGCTGTTTGTTTTGTCCTTACTTGTGGTAGTCCCTGACACAGTAGATTTTGTTCTCAGCATCTACGGTGAACGGGACGCCATCCAGGCACTCGTTGCACACCACGCATCGGAAGCAGCCGGGATGATAGGACTTTCCTAGAGCCTGAAGGATCTGCAATAAGCCAAGAGACAGGAAAAGAAAGCACGAGTGGGCATTAAGGGTGAAAATAACACATTCACAGTGTAACATCACAGTGTGGCATGGTCATCAGCAGCGCTGAGCCTTTCTTCAGGTACCTCATCTGAAGAATCAGTTAACAGGGATACAAAGGGCAACTGGAATCAATGTGTAACACCTGGTTCCAAAGAACAGAATTCTTAGCGTGGCTAAGAAAACAGTTTACAGAGTCTCAGGCAAGGTACTCAGCATTACAAAGAACAGAAGGGACAGAATTTAAGGGAGAAAATAATTTGTAAAGCCAACAGGTGGAGATTTCCTAGCAGAATCAAACAGCAAGATGTTCCACCCCAGCAAAAGGAAATGTATCTTTACATTCTCCATGAGAGGCTGAAACAAATACTCTAACTGGGTTTCCAAAACTTCTAAGATTTCTGGGAGCTTTGTGCACAGTTACCTGGCTTTTTAATAACACAGACTATGGCAACTGTATTCAACGCAACTCCTGTAATTCACTGTGAGCTTTGGAGCATCAAGTAATGGGTGGAATTACATGACCTGTTATCGTTGTGATCAGACTTCTGAATGGAGTATGAAATAGTTTGCCTGGTTACATTAGAAAGCATTAATATCGGAAAAGTAAAGATAATTTGAGGTAAGCATTCAAAAACCTAGAAATTAATTGCTTCTTTGCCTCAGCCATAGTTTT